CCTTCAGACCTTTTTGCAAGCATGACTTTTATGGTTACAGTAAAACTCTAAAATTGGTCGGCAAATCATGCTTAAACTGAAAAAAAAATAAAAATTGCGCAGATTTTTAATTATAACCCGTTCCATATACCGAAGAGGCTGAACTCTTCATAAAATAACCATGAATGCTGCGGTCTACCGATTTGTTCTGACCATTTTTCACAACGGCTTAGGAGCCCAATCTCTTGCAGATAAAGAGAAAGATGTACCTAGCAAGTCCCAAGAAATTTTCCGAAGAATAGCTTTGTTTTGTATACTACTATAGAGGGCTACATTTTAAACAGTCAGACATACCGACAGTATGTCTTGTATGTGGAGAGAGATCTTATCACAGAAACCATATATTTACATGGCTATTCAAACCTACGCATCTATTACCTAGGGAAGCTGATGAATCTGCTCTTGTCGTGGGACTTCTATTAAATGACCTTCCAGAAAAACTCTTTGACCCCAAAAAGTGGAGGACTTTTTTGTTCCTTTCTGGTTTGAATACACGCTGTCGCTAAATTTATTTTCAAGTTCAGAGTCTGAAGTAAACGCTATGCCTTCGGTCCATCTTTATTTGATATAAATTTAAATTCATCACGATATATGTATGTACATACATATGACACGTTGGGTCTGGTAGCGTAATATTTAGCATAGCCCCTCACTGAACTTCTCTTCAGCAAAGTAGCTTTTTCATTACTTCCATGAGTAAAGGTATTAAGCAGAAGTGTTTTTCGTAAAACTTTACTAATGCCGAGTATTTTTTTTTTTAGCAAATGAATCGAATAGGAATATTATCCTTCTTATTTCTACCTGTGAGAGTGTGAAAGTGTTGCCTGTTAAATTCAGGACCGGAATTTGCATTGTGTATGGGCTTTGAAGGTTGCGTGACTATCACAGAATCTAAAGACTCGTTTGTTCTATCCAGATATCTGAGCGCGATTCTGTGCTGCCTCCTGAATGGCAGATATTTCTTCTGGATACACCCGTTACCCCTGGATATGCTTTTGTAGAAGCATGTCTTTCATAAAACTAAAACTTCTTGTGACTGACAACTAGATCGTACAATAATTATGGATTTTCAAAATATCTCGATCCCAGCGCCATCTGGCAGCTCCATTTTTCGTAAAAGTATTTTTTAATATGTATGTATAAAAGTTTCGTATACGAAAAAAATCCGGCCATAAATACGGGTTTTCTCAATACATATTTCGACCCCACCAACAAATATATATTCTGAAAATTAACAAAATGAAATATTGCGACCCCAGTGCCACCTTCCGAGTTATTTGGTGATAGCCTATAGTGAGACCATATGCCTAAAGAATAATTTCCATGGTAGAAGTTTAAGAAAAATATAAGTGCAAAAATTGATTCGTCATACCAAAAAAGCGCTTATAGCATCTTTTTTTTTT